GCCTCCCGCCCCAGGGCCCGGCAGCCAGGGGGCGGGGCCACGAGCTTGGGGGCGGGGCCACAGGCGGAACTACAACTCGGGGAACTACGATTCCCAGCAAGCCCTCGGGTCGGTGCGTGGAGGCTGCTGGGAGAGCGGGTTTCGTTCGCTCGTCTCCAATTGCGTGGGGACTGCCATTGATCCGGTGCTGCCGCAAAACTGAAGTCGCCGAGTAATGATGTTGTGAAGTCGCCGCCCGTCCCTGCCACGCCCGGAGGTTCCAGGCTGCGGCGGCGGCAGCTCAGCTGCTGCTCGGAGGCTGCCGCCGCCTTAGAAGCTTCCCCCTGAGGGGACGCGGGCGGAGGACCGAGGGCTCCGGGCCATTCCTGTGAGTAACCTTCCGTGCGCGACCCGCACTTGCCCTTGCCAACTTCCCCGGGACGCGGAGGCGCCCTCCAGCCCCGCGCGCTGCCCGGTCCTCTGAGGTCACGCCGCCCGGTCCTCCGAGGACACCCGAGCCAGCGGCTGGCGCCGGAGGGCAGGGTCCGCGCCGGGTCCCCGCCCCCGGGTGAGTGGGGTGTTTCCCCAGTGCGGGTGCGCAGTGTGGGCGCCGTGCGCCGGCCTCGGGGCTCCCCCTCCTCGGAGGGCTGGCCGCGTTCTCCTCTGCGGACCTTGTCCGTCCAGCCCCCGCCCCTGAGCGATGAGGGCGTCGTGTCCGGCGGCGGGACCTGAAGCCTCGCTCGCCATCTGTGCTGTGAACCGAGGGGCGGGCGTTGGAAGAGCTCTTTCTGGGTGAATTTGCGGTGGACTTTTCTGGGATGGATTGTGAGCCAAGACACCACACGTCTTTCCAAAGAGACGGTTGGCTTCAGTTTCCAGCGCACATAATGGGTCCTGGCCGGTGTCCATTGGAGGACTGGCATGAAGATCATCTCTGACACTTAAAGGATTTCTGGGTCACAGCGGTGCTTGCCCACAAACCTTTTAGCTAAATGTGCAGTTTCTGAGCCATAAACAAACAAACAGAAACAGTGACCGTTTACCGGTAATTCGTCAAGCTAGAATGGGCCATAGGAATAAAATGACATGGGCTCTGAGTTTTAAATATATGCATAGTCGCTGTAGAATTGCATGTCCGAGCCCCCGGGGTCTCCAAATAGCAGGTTGAGGGTGGAGACGGGACACTTCAGAACAGACTGTGAAGGACAGTTGGGGGTGAGAGAGGGCAGGATGCGGACACTTTACCATCTTATTCATTCAGCTTCCTGTTTTTAAAATTAAGTAACGTGCAGCAGGCCTCAGACATTCAGCAAGCGCACACTTTATGAAAGACCGTGTTTTGTCATTTTGTAGGTTTTTATTCTTATGCTAGAAGGGCTTGGAAAGAACAAACATTTGGGTGTTCTCCATCTGCCAGGCACCCGGGTTAGGAGCTCTGCATACATCCGCTCGATCACTACGATAACCCTTTTGCACTAAGTCTGAGGCTCAAAGAGGTTAAGTGGAGATTCAGACCTAGACTTGCCTCGCTCCAGAGTTACGGGTCAGGAAGCTGGGACCTCCTTCAGAAATGATCCTGAAGGCATTTTCCAGTGTTATTTCCCAATACTGGTTTCTACACACTTTGGACATCTAGAGTAAGTCCAAACCCCCGCTTTTGAACAAGTTGTTCTTTCTGCTTGCAGTTTGGTCCCCCAGAGAGCTACTCATTAAGATCCTGAAAGCGCACGCCAGATCCACTCCAGTTTACTTATGTAAGACATAGGATTGGATTTTCACCTTAAAGGTCCTTTCTGGTTCAAAGTTTTAGTGAATCTACAGTTGGAAATACGAGCCAAGGAGCATTATTCTCCACTGACAATGCTTAATATCTATAGATTTTAAGAGTAGAAAGACTTGTTTCTTAAAATTTTTACTTCTCCACCCCTTTATGTTAAAAACCAGTATAAGAAATGAGACAGATAATGATAATATATTATTTCATGTTTATTTTGAGCTCTGTTATATCATCTGTACCAATTTCTGAACCTCTTTAGTTACCATACTGTTTAGTTGGTAAGAAATCTGAGGCATTAAAGTATATAATACATTTTAAATGAATTAATAATGGAAAGAACTAAATTATGCATGGGGTCCAGTCATTTGTTCAGATCTGCAGTGTTCATGTAATAATAGGAAACATTTATATAATGCTTACTACCTATTAGATACCCATCTAAATCTTTACCTGTATTAACCTATTCTCA